CTTTTACTATTTTATTTTATTTTATTTTAAAGACTATTTTATCTGCTCTAAGTATAGCTACCTCTGCTTCTTTTGGATTACCACTTGCTTGTAATATCTTTTTCCACCCCTTCACTCTTAGTATATGTATCTTTAAGGTGAAAGTGAATCTCTTATGAGCAGCAATTTGTTGGATTTTGTCTTTTTTAAACATTCAACCACTCTATGTTTTTCAATTAAAGAATTTATTTATATTTAAAGTAACTATTAACAGGTAATTACTATTGTCATTTATTAACATTTTATTGTTGTTTTGCAGACATTTTATGTTTGTTTTGTTCCTTGTTTTTTCTCCTGCTATCTTTTGTTTTCTTTTGGTATCTGCATGCTTTGACTTAATTATGTTCTTTCATGCAATTGTTACAGTATTTTCCCTTATGATTACCATGACACACATCTTCAACTTATAACCCCTATTTAAAATTGATTAATTTCAATAGAAATCATAAAAATTATCATTTTTATTTCTCCTCCTCCTTAGATTTTATTATTTTTGTTACAATTAAAGTTTTTTTATATAGTTGTGGTTATTTTTACCTTTTTTTAACTTTTAAGCTGGAGTTCTAAATGAATTATGCACCTCTATTACTATATTGCAGAGTATAACTATGACTATATGTTTATCATTATCAATGAGAGTTCTGCTAAATTTTTATGATTTAGCGTTTCTATACTTCCATTCAAAGAACTCTTATTTAGCATTTCTTAGGAGGCAGGTCTAGTAGCAAAGAACTCCTTCGACTTTTGTTTAGAAAAGACTTTATGCCTTCTTTGTTTCTAATGAATAGCTCTGCCAGGTATAGAACTTTTGTTTGACAGTTACTGTCTTTCAATATTTGCAATATGTCATTCCATTCTCTTCAGGCCTGAAGTTTCTGCTGAGAAATCTTATGGGAGGCTATAACTTCTATGTAACTCCTCTCTACTTTTGTTGCTCTTAAAATTCTTTGTCCTTGACTTTTGACAACTTAATTATATGTTTTGCTGTAGTGCTATCTGTGTTCAACCTATATGAGCTCTTTTGGATTTCACGGAAGAGCATGTCCTTTTCTTTGACCAGGTTTAAGAAGTTTTCAGCCATTGTTGCCTTAAATACACTTTTTGTTCTGGAATTCTTATAATATTAACATTGTTTCTTTTCATTGTGTTCCATTTTGCCATAGGCTTTCTTCATTCCTCTCACTTTGTCCTTCTCTGATTGGGTAATTTCTAATGTCTTATCCTCTAGGTCACAGATTCTTCCTACTGTATGGATGAGTCTACTTTTGAAACTCTCTACGGAATTATTCAGTTCAATTACTGTACAGTAGACCCTTGAACTCCATGAGGTTAAAGAGCATTAACATCCCACAGAGTTGAAAATCCGTGTATAACTTTTGATTCTCCCAAAACTTAATTACTAATAGCCTACTGTTGACTGAAGCCTTACTCATAAACAGTTGATTAAAGTATATTTTATATTTAAGTGTATTTTATCCTCTATTCTTACAATTAAGTAAGCTGGAGAAAAAATATTAAGAAAATAATAAGGAAAACACATTTACAGTACTGTTCTGTATTTATAAAAAAAATCTGTGTATTAGTGAATTTGTACAGTTCAAACCAATGTTGTTCAAAGGTCAACTATACTTTTCAACTGTAGGAGTTTTTTTTTTTTTTTTTTTTGATGGCTGCTTTTTCCTTGTCAAAATTCTCATTTTTCTCATATACTGTTTTCCAAGTTTTACTTGTTTGTGTTTTCTTGTAGTAGACTAAATTTCCTTAAGAGGATTACTCTGAATTATTTGTTAACCTTAGATTTCTATTTCTTTAAGGTCAGTTATTAGAACTTTATTAGTTTCCTTTGGTGGTACATTTATCTGATTTTTCATGATCCTTGATTTCTTATGTTGGTATCTGAGCACTGAAGTAACTGGGCTCCTCTACCAAACTTCACAGGTTTTCTTTGATAGAGACAGTTCTTTACCAGTTAGCTCGATTTGGGTTTCTGGATCTGTCTACTGGTAACATTCACAGGTAGCAAGGCCTGCCATTATAGTCTATTTTGGGGTGAGACAACTGTTTAAGTTCTAAAGATGGGAATGGGGAGTGTGCCTCTGTTTGAGAATAGTTGGATAGGAATGTTGGCTTGGTTCTTTACTTGAGGGCAGCTATAGAACTAGTTCCATGACTGCCTGAATTCTCTACTCATGATTACCAGATGTTTAGTACTGGGTCCTATATTCAGTAGTATATGGGGCTATGGACTAACTTCTTTGCTCTGGCAGGGAAGCAGGATAACCAAGGCCTGTATAGCTCATTGTTTGGGGATCCAAATAAGGTCAGAGTATGTACTGAACTGCACACGGTCAGGTGATGTCACTGGTTTTGTTCTGCAGATAAAGGATGACATAGGTAGTGCTTTCTGTTCAAGTCCCACTATAAATAAGTAGGGCTGTTGAATGGGCTATGCAGCAGACGAGCAAATCCACCAGTTGGGATTATTACTTGGGCACTACAGGTATGAACTTAGTCTGCCAATATCGATGTGCTGATTACTGCAAGCCCCTTCCCCCTTCTCCTTATCAGTCAGATCCTCAGTGGTTGAGCCCTGGACTTCCCTGCAATACCTGGGGGGCAAGATTAGAGTATGGACTTTCATAAAGTAATCCCCAATGCTGGTTGGGGGCTGGCTGTACCGCCTAGGTTCTTTGCCCACTGGAGGAACCAGAGGCTCAGGGGTGACCACTTCCCGTGCTGCTGAACTGGCCTGAAGGAGAAGCAATGTGGTTAACATGTAGCTGTTTTTCTTGCCCTTCTGATGTAGTCTGTTTGGCCTCTGAGGTACAGGTAGGTGCTTCAGCTTTATCCCCATTTTCTAGGATTCTTTTAGTGGTGTATTGTTTTTGAACAGCTGTTAGGTGTTCTTGTGAGCAAAGTCAGGAACAGCCTATGTTGTCATCTTGGTGAAATCACTCCCTGCCCTGTAATTCTTAACTTTCTTGATAGGTGTCTGATGTTCTTAAACCAACTAAAAACAAATACACACACGTGTCCACACACCTACACCCACCCCTTTCATGTTTTTCACTTTTCTCAGAAGGAGAGTTGGTTCTAATTATCTAGTCTGCTGTTACTAGAATTGGGTTTCTATCACTGTCTTTTTCTTTTGCACATGGTATCCTGACTAGAATACAAAATATTTCTGTGTGGACAGTATATCCTATGCATCCAGAACCTAACAAGCTGCCTGTCATACAATAAATTAATTGCTGGACTGAAAAAAATAACAATGTGTAAGTCTTGGCAACTAATAAGAATATGTGGCCTGACAATGGAGAAGAATAAAATTAAATATGACTAAGATTTCTAAAGCTTGATAATGGCCCTGGCATTTCTACATATAAAAAAAGAAGTCAAGAGAAGAAAGAAAGAGGACTACAATTGATGGGAAGTTAATTTTAGTTTTTGCATATACTATATTTGATGTATCTGTAAGTTACTTAAGTGAGAGTAGTGGGAATGGACACCTGATTCAAGATATTAGTTGTGAGAGCAATTCATAAGAGAAAGAGGAAATATTAAGAGACAGGAGCTGAGTATAAAAATGTTAGAGAATGTCTACCAATATGCAGGAGATAAGTAAGAAGAAGAACCTTTCAGTAAGTACATGACTGTGCATAGTAGGAAAAAGGAACTCAGAATTCAACTTAATGGAATATAAGGAGGAAGAGAGTTTGGAGTGAAAATAATTATCTACATGGTCAAATGTGGCTGAAAGGTCAATCAGGCTGTGGAATGAAAGAAGTCTTATAATATATCTACCTTCTGAGTAGTAAAAGAAGGCAGGAACATGGAGGGCTGGAGAGTGTTTAATTTAAGCAAGAAGAAAGATTCAGAAAAGAATGGAGATGATTTTAAGCTGTCATTAGAATTAAAAACTTTATAAAGAGATGAAGTCTCAAAAGGGGCAGGCAGTCAATATTTGAATGAACATAAATTTGCAAAATTATGTGACTTTTTTCAACAAGGTTAGTATCTTGTGGTGAACTCAAGAGAGGGAGCTAGTTTTCAGAAAAGCATGAGAAATTCACTTATAGACAATTTTGAAGATTGGTAAACATATATAGAAGAGCATGGAGTCTGCAATTGATTTGGGAGTTATTTAAACAGAAATGATAGTTTAAACCAATGGTATATGTGGTATTTATATGTCATAATTTCTATCAGTAAAAAAAAAAAAAAAGGTTATTTTCTCTCTTACAGAGAAATAACAACTACTCTAAAAATAGTTTCTATCTCAGTTAATAAGTGTGGATTCATTTTAGAGAACTTTAAAATTGTCCTATTTTAACTTGAAGAATAATCCTATTACAACCAAATGGTTATCAGAATCCTAAAATTATAATTAGCAAAAGGGTATTCATGAAACTTGCCAGAACTGCAAATGTATGCTTGATTACAGCAGTTACTGAACCAATATTATGAACAAATTCTCCTATCCCTGCCTGTCTGCACAATTAATTATTTGGAAGAAAACGAAAACAAAGAAAACAGGCAGGGCTACTATTTTACCAGCATCACAATGGTCACAATTGTTTATGATCGATTTCTGTTCTCATTAGTTAAGTGTTAAGACTGTATTGGTTGTGAAACATTTCAAATACAACTCTTGCTCATATGATAGTATTATATTTACTGAATTACTTATATGTAACCTTTCAGTACTTCCCAAATTCTGAATTACAATCGACACAGACCAGAGTTAGTTACACTAACTCTTCAGGACAAAAAGGATCATTAGAGCCCTCAGTTTAATAATGATTAATCTAAGATACAGTTGCTGCATACTTCTTTGTTACTACTGATATTATGCTCAATTTCAAAGCTTTTTCTACCAGTAACAGTGATCCTGAATAAATTCACCTGGGCTAAAAGTCATTTCACTTCACTTTAATTTTATTAAAATAAAATTCTCATACCATTTGGTGATGCCATAACATTCTTTAATAATATCTTGAAGGACGGCTCGATAGAAGAGTGATTGAGTAGACAGCTGAAAAAAATGTATATATATATGAGCACAAAAAATAAAAATAAAAAACACAAATTGAATCAATACTAGAGAGTCAGGCCCATCACTGAATGTTAGAAACCTGACTTTGTTACAAAACATAGAGGACACTTTAAAAATTTTTCCATACTAAGTTCAATTGTTACCCTGAGGCCAATACTCACTGAGAAAGTAATTCTGCATGAAAATAGAAGAAACTATAAAAGAAATGGTAATGAATGAGGACAAAAATGCAAAATCAAAGAAAAATGAGCTAATGTCCCAAAAAGAGTGCTGTTCAGTTAAAAATGTAGAAATAAACTTTCATGACCAGCCAAATCAGCTTTGGAGCCTATAAGAGAGCAGTCAGGTGTAATACATGCAAAAAAGAGAACATGGATTTGTCCTAATTACAGTGAACAGAAATAATATCACTTAAGATTCAAACCTGGAAAGAGAAGGTTCTATTCTAACTAAGACATTCTAAAAATATGTCTTTAGTCTGAAGGATCATGGCGTTGGCTACTGTAGATTTGAAAAGGGCATGTTTTTTGTCCTTTGGAAAGGACATAGGATCAGGTGTCTATGATGGTTTTCCAAAGAAAAGAAGGTATGGCTGGAGAGAGGTTCCAGTGAAAAAATGATAATTTCAAAGAAGTAGAAGGTAAAAAAAGGTACTATACATAAAAGAAAACACTTCACTAAAAAAATGGAAGTGGTACTCAAACTAAGAAACTATAAAAATCACCCAGACTCTACCCATATCCTCAAAGACCTCTTAATATTGAGAGTATAAATAAATCCAACACAAAATACAAGATATTATCAGCAACATCCCTGCTCCAAAGTTATTGTGAAAAAAAAAAAGAAGAAGAAGAAGAAGAAGAAGAAGAAGAAGAAGAAGAAGAAGAAGAAGGAGGAGGAGGAGGAGGAGGAGGAGGAGGAGAAGAAGAAGAAAAAAAAAATGAGCCAGAGTGGAGGGAGGCCAACAACACTGAGTAGCTCTGAGAAGTCTAATAAGGTGAAAACTCAAAACCGCAATGACTGGTAAAGTTTTAAAGACAGAGTTCAGTAGACTGGATATATTGAGCTATCCTTTTGTAAATTCTATTCTCCTTCAGAGCACAGAATTGTTCTTTTCATCTGTTTTTAACTGAAATATATTTGGATTCAGATGGAGTTTAGCACAAAACAAAATCTTGCCTGTGTGCTCAGACAGAAAACTTAACTACTGCTCCTCTCCTCATATGACCTCAAGTTCCTACACTATGGGGGCCCCTGATGCTGAAACTACACAAAAACACATGTTGGGAGTTGAGGGCCAACCATTATTTCTTGGGTCTTCACCTAATGGCATTGTCTTAAGTCACTGGACAACATCTGACTTGCAGGATCTTGACAGAACACTTGGAAAGAACATATGTGATATCCTTTCTAGATGGAAGAAATACCAAGAAGGGTGATTCTAGTTGGAAATGATCTTAGGAATACCAAAGACCCCAATCTGGCTCCTAAAATAATGCACTAGAAACAGACATATGTACATACTTGAGTACTCACAGTAAATTTATAACCTTCAAAAGAAACACTTTTATATAAAATCTCTTTCTAAATACAACTCCTTGACTTAAGACAAACTCTGATTTCTAAATTTTCTTTCTAGAAGACTGCTCAAAAACATTTCATTCCAAATTTCCCATCTCTGGATATATTTTTCATTTAGCATTTTCTCATCTTGAGTAATTCTTTTTTGCAGTACCAAAAATTTCTATCATCTGTCCCTCACTTCTCCCCAAATCCTTTCCGTTCTCTCACAAAAATTCTGAAATCTTTCAAGGCATTCTGGGAAATATATTATTATATGAAGTAAAATATTAGTATTAGTTTTATAAATGGCTAACAAAGTTTTTAACTTTTTATTTGGTTAGCTATAAAGTGGGAAGTTTAATTTTATATGAAATCCTAAAAATAGTTGAGCCAGTATTTGCACTGAAGAAGCCTAGCTCTGATGTCTCTGTACCAAGCCATGATGCTATTTTGCCTCTAGGATACGTGGGCAGGGATGAGGTATCATTAGTTTTTATTATGTACTTCCATTTAGGGAAAAAAAACTCTTAAAAATATGTGGTGCCTGGGTGGCTCAGTCAGATAAGGGGCTGACTCTTAACTTTGGCTCAAGTCATGATCTCAGGGTCCTGAGATTGAACCCCATTGTCAGTGTTGGGCTCCATGCTCAGTGGGGAATCTGCTTAAGGATTCTTTCTCTCCCTCTCTCCTTCCCTCCACTTTTTTTTTCTCTCTTTCTAAAAACAAAAACCAAAAAATTCTTAAAAATAAGAGTTTTTGCCTTTGAGAAAAATTATATAAATGGTATCAGGATAATTTAGAAATAAATGTATATATTATTAAAAACTGTTAAAAATAAATAAATAAAAACTGTTGAAGATGACAAAGAAACCCCAAGAAATGCATTTAAACAAGAGATCATACAGAAATGCATACAGAAATAACAGGATAGAATAAATCATCATTCCCAAGTTATCTTGAGTAAATGAGAACTTTACAGCTGTTTCCTAAGAGAAATGGAAAAGAGTTATGAAGTGCCTTCAAATGTGCATTCCTAGAATAACTAGAACTATCCATCCTAGTAAATACAGACTGGGGGCAAGTGGGAAGGGAATCAACATCTCCCTGGTACTATGTGTCTGACTATTCCAAGAATAAACTGGATGTGGCTCAGAGTTACTTTCTTTCTTATACAAGTGATAAATCAGCTTAACATTTTAATGCATTTTAAATGGGAGGGAGCAAAAAGAGCACACCCTTCAAGAATATTACCTCAGGCATGCATTTTATAGGTCCAGCAGAGAGGGCACTAAGCTGGACATCAGTACTCTGCAATTAAGGGAGCTAGAATGTACTATTAAACTTCTGCTGTGTATCACATTCTCATGTAAGTTTGGGATAATACCCGACTTGTAAGATTGACTATAAACATTAGTAAGCACTTGGGAAATTGAAAAACACCACAAAAATGCACAGGAACAGTATTATGATAAAGGCTCTTTCCTCTTCCATATCTCTAGGAAACCATTAGGTTGATATGCAATATAGCTGTTAACTGCAAACTAGGAGTTTGAGAGTAAATATGCTCTAGTATCTTTAAAAGATCAGTTTTTATCAACTTTTAGATAGGTACAATGAATACATTTAAAAAAAAACTTCTAAGCATTATGCCTGGCCCAGAGTAAAAACTCAGTAAACGATATTTGTTATTATCATTTTCAAATTATTATTATTTTTAAAAATTCAAATTGACATACTAATGTTCCTTGAAAAAAAAGCAAAAAAGAGATTTCTAAAATTTCAATCTAATGAGAAAAATCTTCTGAAAAGCTTGAAAAGAATTCAAATTTTTTTTTTACAAATTCCTAATATGTGTCATGAATCATAAGGTAGAGAATAAGACAATTATATGGATATTTGGGGGGTATATTTAACTTGTTTATATGTTCAAGCCCATATGGCTATTTCAACTAATGACTAATCAAGTAAATAAGGAAAAAAGTTAAGTACAACAACAATAACAAAATATGTGTTTTGGACTATAGGTAAAAAAATAAATAAACTGAATGTTATACCTTGTTTATCTTTGCTTGAACTAAGCCCATCATAAGAACCTAACAGCAATAGTTTTTAGAAATATTTACAGACTGTTTTGTATATTATAAAGAAATGAGACATTAGTACAAGAATACAAGGTAGAAGTTTGCTTAAAGATTCAATTTACTCTTTCTGAAAGTTCACTTCACTTTTAAAGTAAACTTATAGAAAATGTATTAATTTGAATATGAAGAGGTGAAAGAAGAGATGTTATTTATTAAAAACCATCAGATTTTAAGTTCATCAGCAGGTCAAGTATGAAGAGTACTTAAACTATCATGTCCATCTGCTACATTAGAGTAAACATTCCTACCTACCCCTTGGCCAACTGCAACCCGTTCCAAAGCCTTTGGAGAAAAAATAAGAAGAAAAAAATAAGAGACTACTCATATATTTAGTCTTACCTTATAAGACTTATAAACACACTGTATAAGGGCTTATAAAAGAGACATTTAAAAGTATTAATTAAGTGATAACATCTAAGTTTAAACATTTAAAAGTATTACTATCATTAAGGAATGTTAACCGGTTTACTTGTTAGATATAGCTGAAATCATATACTCCTAAAACTAAAGATAATTTACAAATTATCCTATGTAAGTACAATTTTTGCAGCTGCACAAGCTCAATGACAAGGTAAAGTAACTTGCCGCAAGTTGTATAGCTAGTTTTAGCAAGTGGGCAGGAAGTAGAAACTTGTTCTTTGAACCCTAACTAGCTTTTCCTGCCCTCACACCATGAAGATTTAGTGGAAAAATGACTTCACTGTATAGAAAGTTGCTTCACAGAAATTGTTTGAAGAAAAAAATTGCAATTTTTCCATTGACTTGAGGCATACTTTTACTGATCATCTAGAACCACAGATGTATGAATATAAGAGAAAGCTATTATATAATTTTCATATTAAATTAAACAACAAGCCCAGAATAAGTTTATTATTGAAGAAAACATTGATTTTCATTTATGGTACTGTTTGTGCTCATTTCAGATTAGATTTTTTGTTATGGCTTTTGCTAAAAGGCTGAATTGAACAAAGAAACAAGAATTTTTAATAAATTGGTGTTAATAAAAGTATCTGCTTTTAGATAAGTATAACTCGTTAAAAGTAGTCAACACGAGACTACTTTTAGTATGTGTTACTGATAAGGGATTTGAGAAATACAAATGATAAATTATGATGACATAATAAAAGATAACCAGGTAGGTGATAAAAAGTTTCTTATAAATATCAGTATTTTTCTTGGCCAATAAATAAAGATAATGAAGAAAATAAACCAAGTGTTCCTTTCATACTAATCTGAAATATTTTGCAGTTTTATCAGAGTTAAAGTATGTTGACAAGATTGTGCTAATCTAATTAAAATCTCTGGTTAGTACCATTAACAATTTATCTCAAAAGTGTCACCAGAAAGGTCTCTTTTTCTCTTTTTAACCCCTGAGGCCTTATTGGTGGAAAAGGTCAGTTACGGAGCAAAAGGCAACAAAAAAATATGTACCAAAAAAATGTTCCTCGGCATCCAATAAAAAAGCCAAAGTAGCCAGGGACTGGGATGGAGCCAAGGAGAGGGGTATTCCATAGGAAGCTGACGTTGGTCAGGAAAAGTTGTTAAGTGCAGTGTGGTCTATACATTCTATATTCTGAAATTTATTTTTCAAAAATGCTTCTTTTTGCTTTGAATGTTTATTTTTATAGCAAATATTTTTGTTTTGTGAATGCAGTATATCCTTTCATCTAAAAGATATTAATTAACAGTTATTTTACTTTAGTTTATTTTGTATAGTCTCCATTTTCTCCAAGTTTCTTTTCTTCTGTTTATCTGACATTTGTTCTTTCACATGAGACTTTCTTTAAGAGACATCTAGTGATTCTTGGCTGTTTGCTGGTAATTAAAATGAGAATATCATAAAACTGATTAGAAGTAATGTGCTTATGAGAGAGGACTGTTAATTGTGGGCTTCATTATAAAGGTCCTGCTTTATTTTAGAATCTCTGATGCTAAATCATCATTAGGTCTTTTTTCTCAGGCTAGTCAGATTCTTTAGGAACAACTCTTTTAATTTCTTGTCTGGATGGTATAACCCTGGCTGCCAGCATTCTTAGGACCAAGTCATTCGAAGAATTACCTGTCCATTCGAACATGACCCTGAACATATATCACTAACAAATATAATGAAAGAACAAGACAATTTCCAAGAAAAGCAATTTAAGAAGATTTACAAAAATTATTTGAGCATAAACTGATTTCTAAAATAATTCTAGGATACATGACCTAGAACACTGGTGTACTACTTTTTATATTGCTGTGTAACTGGCATAGAAATAACGGCCACAGAATAATTAATTTATCTTGGGCTTGGACATTAAACACATTATTCAATCAACTATATTTTAAATTTCTAACAAAAAAAATAACTTACACTTTTTAACTTGCATCTATCCTTTGTAAACTAACACAGCACCATGAACAGAGAATATCACAGGCTAAAGTTATCAGGTTTAAGGACGCTAGCCAAATCAGGCACATTAAAGGTTTTATTTAATTAGACAGCTACTTCATATCGTAGGTGGCTTATTAATATTTTTCCCATTCTGTAAGAAATTAAGAGACCAAATGATCTACTACAAACACACATAAACACACCATGGAACTATGAATAAAAGCACTGAACTGATTCTGTATTTAATGCTTGGTAGTTGATACATTTTATATGAAAATTAAAGTAATTATATATACAAATTATATGTAAAAAGTACAACTATAAATTGTTATCACAATGTGTGTAAAGTAGTAGACAATGTTGGAAGGGCAAGTCATTTTTTTCTCAAAATTTGCAATGCACAAAAGCATTAATAATGATGCTCTGTAAAACTTGGCATTTAATTCATGATATTAGCCAACAATAATAAATTATGCAACATCTGGATAAAGCCCTTAGTCCAGAAAGAAATATAATCATACCAAACATGCTGACATTCTGGCATTACGACCACAGCACCATCTCTCTTCCTTTAAATACTGGCACATTGGAAATCCCCACTTTTCTTGGGTACTTTCTGCAGAGAGGGAAAAAATATGGATTATTTAAATAAGATTCTTCCTTTTTCAGTTAAAGTAAACAATCCATTGAGAAAGAAAAGCAGTCATTGAGAGTCATATAGTAGTTAAACATAGAGGTAGTAATGTTTAACACTTCATTCCAATCTGTTAATTGAAAGCATATTAATGTTATGAAAGTGGTATTTTCAACAATAGCTGTTTTGTGTTTAAGCTTTTAGGTTTGATATTAACCAATCTGCCAAAACTATCTTTCTAAGATTTAGCAAAAGCAATTTAAAATGGAAGTATTCTTTATGTTCAGTACAACTTAGGAAATAAGTAATGAGATACTGGATATTTACTGCTGACTTGACTTTCTTAAAAAAAAAAAGATTTGTTAAATGACATTTGTTAATTTACTGTAGAACAATATTAATTCATCCCTAATAATGATGAAGCCTCAATTTTTTTTTCAGCCACTATATTCACTTTCCAGAAAAAGAACAGCTGTATAAGCTCTTCTTTCTTCATTACATGAAAAAGCTGCAATATTTTCAATTGTGATCCAATTTGGCTCAGTTGCATATATGGTTTAAGTAACAACAACAAAATCAACATTCACTGCTTAATCACACCTATCTTTTGCCCAACTCACTTACAGAGTTGCATATGCAATTTGCTGATGCTAAAACCCTTACTGCAGAAGTATGAATTACAGAGGTATTTTGAAAAGGAAAACACATTTCTTTTTTAAATTGAAGCTTGAAAAATAAGAGCTTAAATTTTATCAAGGCTATGACAATTAAAAAAATACAAAATTTTTATTAGGTTAAAAGTAAAGATAGAATTAGAACCTTTAAAACAAAACAAAAAAATGCTTTAAAAGAAAATATTGTTGAAGTAAATTCCACTAAGTAAATTTCTCTGTTATGAAGTATCAGATGACTTTTGATTAAAATAGTGAAAGTTTAAATTTCATGCAGATCATAAGCCTGTGAAAGTGGTTTCTTTCAGTACATAAATTAAGATTTGTAATAGACCTTACTGATAACTAATTGGAAGATAAAGACCTTCCCTTGGGAATATAAATAATACTACTAGTGTTTATATAGCACTGTATATTATGAGGCACTATTGTAAATGCCGTAAGTGTATTTAAGCTTTAGTCTCTACAGCAACTCTATGAAGTAGGTACACTGTTATTCTCATGGTTTAGCTAGGGAAACTAAGCACAGGCAGGTTAAGTAAATTGCCTAAATTGCAAAATCTACCACATAGTGGGGTAGGATTTAAAGGTAGGCAATTTGTCTCCAGAGGCCATGCTCTTAACCACCAAGCTATATAAACAATTTCAATTACAAATGCACAGGACTTGTGGAGCCCTTGAAGCCAATCCAGGTCCCGGGGACCCTTGGACTACTTCTATTTCCAAGATGACTTGAAATAGCAGTTTGAGTTTTTGTTAAGGCTTAACAACTTTACTGAGACATGATTACTACTAAATGAAAGAATTAAGTCAGTTTTTTTTTTCTTCCTATAAACAAAAAGAGAAATACCTAGATCTTATTGTAAAGGGTAAGGGGCTAGAGACAGGTTTATACTATGTTATTCAGAATAAAAAGGTGCTAACTAATAAAATATTTGGATCTTCCCTCATCCATTCTCTTCTTGTTCCTTGTAGACAGGAATAGATATCAAAGGCATAATGGGATAGTACTGAAGTCCCTAGAAAGACAGTGGTGAAGCTGTGAGTATGTGGTAGGGGCAAGATGGATGGTAATTACTCAGAGGAATACAGAGTTCTGGAATTCCTGTTGGTGTCTAGTAATAAAGGGAAGATGAAGGCAGGTCCTACATATAAGACCCTGGGGTACTTCTTGATTTCAGATGACAAAACATGGAAGCCAACAGTAAGGCTGTTGAGCACATGGGGCTGTCATTAGAAAAATGGAGGCTAGTAAAGGGTGGTCTTTCTGCAAACAAAACAAAACAAAACAAAACAAAACAAAACAAAACAAAAAAGATGGTTTTATTGCATATTCACTAACTTGTGGTGATGAAGATGATGGGTGTAGAGAAGAGCTATGGTGTTCCTAATGGCTCACAAAACTACTTTTTCCCACCACAAAAACAGCTTACAGAAGAGTACTTTTTGTACATAAAAGAGCTCCCTCTCTAACCCTACGGAACTATGAAGGCACTTGATATATATGGCTCCCTGAATCTCTAGCCAAAGCATCTAAGATTCTAGGCCTTATAGATAATAGGAATTGCCAGCCTTGGTTCAGGGTTATGTAAAATAATCCATCAAAGCCTGCCTCCTTTGGACATCTGGTGGTTGTGGAATCTCCTTCAAGTTTTCTGAAGCTACATCAGTTTCCTCTGTGATTGAGGTCATGGTGGCCTCACAGCTCTGCTCATTTTTTAAGAGTAAGTGCAAGCAACTGATACGGAGGCAGGACATCATCAAACTCAAACAGAGCCTTTCACGTATAGGTTCAATATTATCTTTGGAATCTATTTCACCAGCTTCAGTCTGACTGCAGTGAAGCAGGAGGCTCACTTCTATGTCCTGAATCAAAGTCCCAGAGTTCGCTGTTTCTATAGTTATGTTATCAATCTCCTATTTAACTGTGTTCATACATTCAAATCTAGTCAAACTGAACTCTAACCGCCCTTATCAGCTGCTTTTCTCTAGGCTCACTTCCATGCTATCTTTAAATGATAATTTTGGAATAGATGAAGTCTCCTGTTTTTGTTTTTTTTTTTCTTCTATCCCATTTCTTCTTTGTTAGCTTTAGAAATCCATTAATCTCATAAAAGGAGAGATTCTACTAGTCTTACTTCCTGTGTTAATATTATTATCCCCTGAATTAAGCAAGTTTGAACTTGAGAACCATCTTCTATTATTTTTTTCCTTTAAGCCTCAAGCTCTTATATATACAACCTCTTAATTATACCTCCTTTTCATTTTCAATCTTCATTAGCTCTTGACTGGGTAAATGCAATACTTACTTAAATCTTTTTTTTCTTTCCTTTAGTCTTGCTCATCCTTTGTATTACAAGTAACATTATCTTTCTAAAATAGATACATCTAACCATGTCACTCCAATAGCTCTTGTTTATCTCACTAGCATCTATGAGACCAAACCTAATGGGTATTTTTCTTAACTGTGGATTTTCAGGAGGGTCCGATACTCCTCCTTATAATACTCTCTCCCTCTGGTTCCATGATACCATGCTCTCTTATTTGTGGCCTAACACTCTTCCTATCCCCTGATAGTTTGTTATTTTCTGTCTACTGAATGTTCATAAGAATTAATCCTATCTCCCTTTAAACTTTTTTGAAGGATTCACGAACTCTAATACTTACAGTTGGTAAATAAATGTATGAAGCAGCTAGATAGAATAAAATAGGTAATAATTTCAACTTGTTTGGTAACCAAGTATCTCATTTGCTCAGGCTTAATGCTGTAACACAATCTGGCCATAATGTAACTGTCAAAATTGCCCAAAATGAGTCTGAGGGGACTATCAGTGAGAGTCAGTGTGTAACTTCTCTATACTTTCCCTAGTATACCTATATCTTACCCATACCTCAATATATACTAACGACCCATGTATTAATTTCTTTGGGCTACTGTAACAAATTACCACATATTTGGTAGCTTAAAACAGGAAGGTATTCTCTTGCAGTTCTGGAAGCTAGAAGTCTGAAATCAAGGTCACGCTCTCTAGGAATGCTCCAGGGGAAGAATCCTTTTCTTGCCCCTTCTTAGCTTCTGGCGGTTGCCGGCAACCTTGGCTTGTAGCTGTACCATTCCAGTTTCTGCCTCTGTTTTCACATGGCTGTCTTTCCTCTGTGTCTCTGTGTATCCTCCCTCTTCTTATAAGGTCACTCACCATTGGAATTAAGGTCCACCCTATTCCAGTATGACCTCATCTCAACTAATTACATCTATAAATACCCTATTTCTAAATGAGATCACATTCTGAGGTTCCGGGTCGACATGACTTTATGAAAGACACTATTCAACCTAATCCAATTTCTTTTTTTATTTTTTTTATTTTTATTTTTTTTTAATTTTTATTTATTTATGATAGTCACACACAGAGAGAGAGAGAGAGAGAGAGAGAGAGAGGCAGAGACATAGGCAGAGGGAGAAGCAGGCTCCATGCACCGGGAGCCCGACATGGGATTCGATCCCGGGTCTCCAGGATCGCGCCCTGGGCCAAAGGCAGGCGCCAAACCGCTGTGCCACCCAGGGATCCCCCTAATCCAATTTCTAAATTATGTTTCCAACCTCTTCTCTAAGATCTAATTCTACATCACCAATAGCTTAACTATTACCTCCAAATAGGTATTTCATTGGCATTTGATAATCAACATGTCCAAAATCTAAATAACTGAATGATACAAAACAAGATATCCTAAAGTTTCCTATTTCCATGACTGGCATCGACATTTATTCATTTACATGAATCAAAAAATTCAGGAATGTTCTCAGATACTTCCTCATACATAGCCTGTTTTAGAAATTTCAGTTTATTTTTCTCCTGAATATTCCTCAAATCCATTCATATTCTCTATGTCCACTATCCCAAACTACCATATGATGAAATTGCTATGAAGGCCTCGATTGGCTAACAACACACACTCTTGTTCCTTTTTACCTCAGTTTCAATATTGCGAGGTGATCTTTTAGAATATAAACCTCATCCGTTCATTTCCTGGTTTAACACATCCTTCTTATGCTTTCAGATAGAAAACCAAGAAACAGACTCTTAACTATAGAGAACAAACTGATGGTTACCAGAATGGAGGTGGATTGGGGGCGATGGGTTAAATAGGTGATGAGGATTAGGGAGGGCACTTGTGATGAGCACAGGGCTTATGTATTCAATCACTACTGTATACCTGTATACACTGTAATGTATTACAATGTAATTACTGTATACATTGTAATGTTAACTAACTGGAATTTAAACAAAAACTTAAAAAAATTAAGACTCTGTT